AGCAGGGGTAAAAGACTTTTTTGAGAAAGAAGGCATCACTCACGTCGTCACCCTAACACACGCTAATGTTGTGGAGCGTTTCATAAGGACAAAGAAAAATATGATACACGACAGGGTGAGGTTTAATCGTGGCAGTTGGACTGTGATGTTGTCCAAAGCGTTAGCTAAAATACAACGACACCGTCCATTCATCCACCAAAATGAAACCCAAGGATGCCCACGACGACAAGAACCATATGGACGTCAGGGTGAATTTGACAAGGAGGGAAAAGAACACTCGCAAATATCCAGAGGTCAAAGTGAATGATATGGTGAAGGTCTTTGAGAAGAAAAAAGACAACTACACCAAGAGGAAGGAGTATAACTCAAAGTGGAGCAATCAATCCTACAAAATCGTCAAGATAGAATACGATGATGTCGGAAACAGAACTTCAAACTGGAAGGATTGAACAAACCGTATTTGAGGCACGAGATTTTGAAAGTATAAAAAAATATCTATAATATTAATATATGACAGAGGTAGTCGTAAAAGAGATTGATAATGAAGAACACAAGGAAGAACCAATACCAGAACCAATACAGGAAGAAGCACCGAAAGAAGAGGAGAAACCAGAAGAAATAATTGAACCATCCGTTGAAGAGAAACCGCAACCAGCACCAAAGCCCAAAAGGGTAAGACCGTCAAGGGCGAAACCACCTTTTGACCCAGAAGCATTCAAAAGCGACCTTGTAAAACAAATAAAGGAAGAACTACAAAGTGCGATGTCCGCCAGAGACACCTACAACAAAGCCAAAGAGGAAAAGAACAAAGCGACGAGAGAGAAATTGAAATCTTTAGCATCAAAAATTTTATAAAGTATTATATATAAAAAAAAGATCAAGGAACAGAAAATAGAACTCAACAAAACAGACATCTACGAAAACGTCCGCAAGGACATCAACAGAAGACAAACCGTCCATTCCAACAAAAGTGCCAACTATAGACATACAGTCCAAACAGGTATCATGAATCAGCGACGGTCTCCTGCGTGGTGACAGGCTCAGTACCATTCTTGCGGAGGAAATCCAAACCTGTCAGAGTGAAAGTCACGGCGGCCCTGCTTGGTGTTTTCAAGTTCTTGGTGATCTTGATGATGTTTGATGAATCTGGGGATGGAACAAAATTTCAGAGGGGCACAGAGATTTTATTTCATGTGTATAGGGACCAAACCATCCCATTTTGGTACCAAGTGCGGCCCACTTTTCAGCGATACCCGTCTATTGAGTAAGGATCAACATCCAGAACATAGTTGCTACAATGTAAACATTTTGAAACCACCAGCCAGCCCAGCCAGCTGCTGGTTTCTATTCGGAATCCCTATTTCAACCCCCAACTGGATGCTCCCAACCTCGCTGCACATGCGTATCGAAGTAGCTCCAGATCATGTCCTTCGCCTGTGTGATACAGGGATGTGGAAGTGCAGCTCTCGTAAACTCTCTCAGACAATCCTATGTATCACCACTGACAATGCTTCTGGCTACATCTGCTGAAAAAGAGTTCTCTCATCCTTCTCTCATCTTTCTGATGGTTTGTTTAAGGGGGGGTTACAAAATGAACCCCTATATGGTGATGCCAGGATCACACCCATGATTTAGCAGATTTAGTGTAAAGTATACTATAGATTATTATATATATAATATATATATATAATGTCAACATACCGTGGATGGAAGAAATCCTGCACCACCGAAAGGATGGTAGAAACCTTACAAGTAACAGAATGGACCACCTTTCCCGGCGCCTTCTCAGAGAATGGCTGGTCAGGCAGCCCACTGAGCCAGGTGCGCACGAAGGGTTCCCATCCCAAGTCCGAAGGGGTCAAGTACACCTGGCAGCTGGGATTTCATGGTGATTTACTTATGGTTTAATGGGAAATCCTGGGATTTCGTCATGATTTCATGGTGATTTAATTGGATTCAGTGGGATTCAATGGGATTTCATGGTGAGTTGATGGGATTCAATGGACATGTGTAACGCTTTTTTGGGGGGATTTCATAGATTTGTTTTGATGGGAATTGTTGACATTCAATGGAAATTGTTTGATGCTATGTATTGATATTTAATTGCTTTTTTTCGAGTGAATGGGGATTTCATGTTGGCTGGCGAGAAGCCCCTTGACACCCTAAAATCCCCAAATCTTCAGTCGTCAACCCTGGATTCTCCGGGTTGCTTTGGTACCGTTGTACCGTTGCTTTCCATCAACCATCAGCGGAATCCAACGGTTGACATCTAGGATGGGGGTCATAAGAATCAGTGAAAAGGAGCCCAGGCTCTCTGTAACATGACCACATGCTCTGGTTGTTTGAGTTCCCGCGATGACAACCCAAAATTACCGTATGTGCTTCACATACCTTTCGTACTAGGATGTACTAAGTATATCATCCCTACAGCTTTGACTGAACATAGGGTACCCACTAGCTCTGCAACGGTCATCCATGCCGGGTCGTCATTTTCCTTATT